ATATAAGTGTTTTTTTTGTTAGCTAGTAATATATTTGATATAAAGTTTCTTTGTAACTCCGTCGTTTATCGGTCGATATAAGTAGTTTTTTTGTTAGCTAGTAATATATTTGATATAAGGTTTCTTTGTTAACAAGTAATATATTTGATATAAGGTTTCTTTGTTAACAAGTAATATATTTGATATAAGGTTTCTTTGTTAACAAGTAATATATTTGATATAAGGTTTCTTTGTTAGCTAGTAATATATTTAACTCCGTCGTGTATCGGTCGATATAAGTGTTTTTTTTGTTAGCTAGTAATATATTTGATATAAAGTTTCTTTGTAACTCCGTCGTTTATCGGTCGATATAAGTAGTTTTTTTGGTTGCTAGTAATATATTTGATATAAGGTTTCTTTGTTAACAAGTAATATATTTGATATAAGGTTTCTTTGTTAACAAGTAATATATTTGATATAAGGTTTCTTTGTTAGCTAGTAATATATTTAACTCCGTCGTGTATCGGTCGATATAAGTGTTTTTTTTGTTAGCTAGTAATATATTTGATATAAAGTTTCTTTGTAACTCCGTCGTTTATCGGTCGATATAAGTAGTTTTTTTGTTAGCTAGTAATATATTTGATATAAGGTTTCTTTGTTAACAAGTAATATATTTGATATAAGGTTTCTTTGTTAACAAGTAATATATTTGATATAAGGTTTCTTTGTTAACAAGTAATATATTTGATATAAGGTTTCTTTGTTAACAAGTAATATATTTGATATAAGGTTTCTTTGTTAACAAGTAATATATTTGATATAAGGTTTCTTTGTTAACAAGTAATATATTTGATATAAGGTTTCTTTGTTAACAAGTAATATATTTGATATAAGGTTTCTTTGTTAGCTAGTAATATATTTAACTCCGTCGTGTATCGGTCGATATAAGTGTTTTTTTTGTTAGCTAGTAATATATTTGATATAAAGTTTCTTTGTAACTCCGTCGTTTATCGGTCGATATAAGTAGTTTTTTTTTTTGCTAGTAATATATTTGATATAAGGTTTCTTTGTTAACAAGTAATATATTTGATATAAGGTTTCTTTGTTAACAAGTAATATATTTGATATAAGGTTTCTTTGTTAACAAGTAATATATTTGATATAAGGTTTCTTTGTTAACAAGTAATATATTTGATATAAGGTTTCTTTGTTAACAAGTAATATATTTGATATAAGGTTTCTTTGTTAACAAGTAATATATTTGATATAAGGTTTCTTTGTTAGCTAGTAATATATTTAACTCCGTCGTGTATCGGTCGATATAAGTGTTTTTTTTGTTAGCTAGTAATATATTTGATATAAAGTTTCTTTGTAACTCCGTCGTTTATCGGTCGATATAAGTAGTTTTTTTTTTTGCTAGTAATATATTTGATATAAGGTTTCTTTGTTAACAAGTAATATATTTGATATAAGGTTTCTTTGTTAACAAGTAATATATTTGATATAAGGTTTCTTTGTTAACAAGTAATATATTTGATATAAGGTTTCTTTGTTAGCTAGTAATATATTTAACTCCGTCGTGTATCGGTCGATATAAGTGTTTTTTTTGTTAGCTAGTAATATATTTGATATAAAGTTTCTTTGTAACTCCGTCGTTTATCGGTCGATATAAGTAGTTTTTTTTTTTGCTAGTAATATATTTGATATAAGGTTTCTTTGTTAACAAGTAATATATTTGATATAAGGTTTCTTTGTTAACAAGTAATATATTTGATATAAGGTTTCTTTGTTAACAAGTAATATATTTGATATAAGGTTTCTTTGTTAACAAGTAATATATTTGATATAAGGTTTCTTTGTTAACAAGTAATATATTTGATATAAGGTTTCTTTGTTAACAAGTAATATATTTGATATAAGGTTTCTTTGTTAGCTAGTAATATATTTAACTCCGTCGTGTATCGGTCGATATAAGTGTTTTTTTTGTTAGCTAGTAATATATTTGATATAAAGTTTCTTTGTAACTCCGTCGTTTATCGGTCGATATAAGTAGTTTTTTTTTTTGCTAGTAATATATTTGATATAAGGTTTCTTTGTTAACAAGTAATATATTTGATATAAGGTTTCTTTGTTAACAAGTAATATATTTGATATAAGGTTTCTTTGTTAGCTAGTAATATATTTAACTCCGTCGTGTATCGGTCGATATAAGTGTTTTTTTTGTTAGCTAGTAATATATTTGATATAAAGTTTCTTTGTAACTCCGTCGTTTATCGGTCGATATAAGTAGTTTTTTTTTTTGCTAGTAATATATTTGATATAAGGTTTCTTTGTTAACAAGTAATATATTTGATATAAGGTTTCTTTGTTAACAAGTAATATATTTGATATAAGGTTTCTTTGTTAACAAGTAATATATTTGATATAAGGTTTCTTTGTTAACAAGTAATATATTTGATATAAGGTTTCTTTGTTAACAAGTAATATATTTGATATAAGGTTTCTTTGTTAGCTAGTAATATATTTAACTCCGTCGTGTATCGGTCGATATAAGTGTTTTTTTTGTTAGCTAGTAATATATTTGATATAAAGTTTCTTTGTAACTCCGTCGTTTATCGGTCGATATAAGTAGTTTTTTTTTTTGCTAGTAATATATTTGATATAAGGTTTCTTTGTTAACAAGTAATATATTTGATATAAGGTTTCTTTGTTAACAAGTAATATATTTGATATAAGGTTTCTTTGTTAGCTAGTAATATATTTAACTCCGTCGTGTATCGGTCGATATAAGTGTTTTTTTTGTTAGCTAGTAATATATTTGATATAAAGTTTCTTTGTAACTCCGTCGTTTATCGGTCGATATAAGTAGTTTTTTTTTTTGCTAGTAATATATTTGATATAAGGTTTCTTTGTTAACAAGTAATATATTTGATATAAGGTTTCTTTGTTAACAAGTAATATATTTGATATAAGGTTTCTTTGTTAACAAGTAATATATTTGATATAAGGTTTCTTTGTTAACAAGTAATATATTTGATATAAGGTTTCTTTGTTAACAAGTAATATATTTGATATAAGGTTTCTTTGTTAACAAGTAATATATTTGATATAAGGTTTCTTTGTTAGCTAGTGATATATTTAACTTGTTTATTTTCTCTGTCGTTTTTCCTTATCATGCCCAATATGTATCCCTGCGGTATTTGTGCAAAAACTGCAATGGTGCTAAAAATGTAGCTTGTGAATATTGTGACAATAAACACCTATAAATTCAAAAACAAAACACAAATATAAACAGTTAATTACCTAAAAGCTGGAATCTCCTACTCTGTGCATCACTACTGTATTATATAAAATAAATAAATCCAGATAATTATTGTTTTCAATCTTTCGATTTCAAAATAATCTTTCATTATTAATTACATATTATGATATGTACTTATAACTTAATCAATGGATTAACAAATAGTTCAGTAATATGTATAACGTTATTTTTTAAACAATTAACAATTTCAATTGTTTGTAAATTGAGAATTCAATTTGATCAAATGATTATCATTTTATATAAAATTAACTGGGATCAAATTTATGTTTATGTTAACCATTATTATTAATTATGTACAACAAACTAATTAAACAAAAATTACGATTTTAATATATATATTAGAACATAAAATTAGAGACAGAAATAATACATACAAAAATATTGAAAACATAATGTAATTGTTTGAAATAAATGGCAATTAGTTAAAAATTAAATCATAAAATAAAATAAAATGGGCTCTTATGTAGAACTGCGTCCTCGTCGCAAAGCCCGTGGCTAATACTAATAGTTCTACAGTTAGGTCCGTACGAGTTACTTCCCTTAAGTAATGCCTGTTGTGAAATAGTTCGCATATTTTTATCAGAATATTTCTTATATTTCGGTACATTCTACTGTTATGATCGACCTGATATTTTGCACACAGTTTGGTAAATGGAAAATCTTTATGAATCCGAAAACAGAAGTAAAAAATATTGATTAACGAATTCTCGGGCGCGCGAAAACCTCCGTGGACACTCATTCCTCCGTGGACACTCAATCCACCCTCTTGAAAATAGTATTACTGACGTATTTCGGTACTTTCTACTGTTATGATCAACCAGATATTTTGCACACACCTAGGTAAGTTAACAATAGTTAAGAATCAGAAGAAAAAAGTGCAAAAAATCTAATAACGAATTCGCGGGCGCGCAAAAACCTCCGAGGACACTCATTCTTCCCAAATATGCATTTTTATCGACGTATTTCGGTACTTTCTACTGTTACAATCGAACTTAAATTTTGCACACACCTAGATATATGAACAATATTTAGGAATCAGAAGAAATAAGTGAAATAAATCCTATAACGAACTCGCGGGCGCGCAAAGACCTCGGAGGACACTCATTACCCGGAGGACACTCATTAGGGTGACCCGTATACTATAGTGTCGCAGATCATTTCCACAGGGGCTCGGTTTCGGCATACTTTCGGTTAATAATAAACCTATATCTCGGTACCCTCGTATTTAAGGTTTTAGAATGTGTTTGAACACTGGAAAAAGTGTTGCTGTTATTTTCTAGTGTATATAGGTTTATTATTAACCGAAAGTATCCCCCCGAAACCAAGCCCTTGTGATCACATTTCTATAAAATTCAATTGCGAAATCGACCTCAATTCATTTCGAACCAAATCTCTAAAAGCATATTTTAAGTGACGAAACCAAAACACAACTATCAATTTGTAAGTAACAAACAATGCAAGATGACCTCCTGCCAATATATATGGTCAATTTTTAATAAATATCTCAACGGGAATGCCAACCGATCTGACCAGTGTTTGTTGTTGTTATTTCGTTCCCAAGGTGGACATATTTTATTACACAAAAAACAGCTCAGTTTCGTTATACAGTGATACAATAGGTAATTGATCATATGATAATTAAATAGTGTATTGTAATATTGAATTATCGTGCGGTTGAAGTAATTAAAACACGTCAAACCTTTAGGTCTTCTACTCTTCACTTCCTCCATTTTGCCGGAATTAGACATTGACGTAGTAGCGCTACCTGTAGCAGATGTTGATGAAATCTCTAAAGGGGAGGTAAGTGGTCTATCTAAATGTGAAAAAATACCAGTGTTAATTAGCGTTGTGATTTAAAAAATACTATAAGTTCCGCTTAACATTATCTTCTCTTCGGTTGTGTTATGTCATTTTTATGTGTTTTAAAAACCCTTTCTGGAGTTAATTAAAAAAATATTTTGGTGTTCTGAAATTCTATACAGCATATGAGCCCAATAGCCATAGTCCAAGATTGCATGAGCGATTCACAGGCTTTCCATTCATTGATGAAATAATGAAAAATATTACGATTAAAAATGAGTAGTCAGATTCAAGTTGCCAGGCTTGATTTTTTAAAATGACTAGGAATATCTTGTTTATGTCATTATTGAACGAAATGAAATTGTAAATCGTGATTAACATTACATGTACTTTGTAAATCATATACAATCTTGACCATTCTGCGTCATTTCAACAAACCCATTTTTTTGCTCGTTTTCGGCTCTAACAGAACACATCTTAGCGTAACTCATCTTGTGAAAAAATAGCCTCAGTGATCCTCCAAAATGTTACCTATATTCACGGATTTAGATAAGATCTTATTCAGATCCGTGCTATGCTCAAATTTTACGTACCGTCCAATTTCCAAAACACATAGAGCTATTACATTACTTTTAACGTTAATCTCAAACTTACTATATAGGTAATAATAACAGCCGAATTTTTTAATTCTATCAAAAACGCACATGACATTCCTACATCGATTTGCCAATTCCAACATGTTGCTGCATCTAGCATAAGACAGATTCTCAAAATATGTATAACCTATAAATAATTGTCCAAAATCACTACACTCACTAATTCTTTTCAGATTTCTGAAAGATTTTTCAAACGAAACTAATCAAATTTTCACATCCTATGAATATATATTAAAAGGTATCTCCTGGTTATTTCATTCTACTTTTTTTATCAAAAGTCTTCTATATAGTGTTGTTGTCGTTTAGTGAAGCTTTCTTTTCAATCGCAATTCAAATGGGAGACAATTCCACACTAAGCCCAATGTGAAGCTAAATAATCCGGCCTCTGTATGTCGTTATAGAGTTTGACAAGATTATTTTGTGCAACCGATTATATGAAGTTAATCATTTATTAGGGCTGCAACGATATATTGTACCGTATCGTATCGTGATACTTTCTTAATTATCGTTTCAAATCACTAGTTTTCTTTGTCTGTATCGCGATACACTAACAGTACTGAAATCATCAATCTTTTTTGAGGCCCTCTGTGCAAAAGTATTAGACATGAAAATATGTTTTGACAGCAATTTACGATACACATATGACAAATCTGTAAAATCCTGCACTCAATAATTATGAAGTTGACCTGTGACCTGTGAGCAGATATGTGTATCGTGATACGTATCGAGTCGTAAGCATTACACCACGATACGCATCGTACCGTGAGATATGCGTATTGTTACAGCCATGTCATTGATTAGTATATATTCTATGACTTTTAATGTATTTTTTCTGTTTCACTATACTTTAGGTGCAGTACCCTACTGTATTCATAAAGGCAGCACAGACATTTTCTTAGAGATTCTAGCTTGGCATCTTGATACTATTCTCCAAACCTCATCTTCTTTCATATGCTGTGATATGATTTACCTTTTATTTTGTTAATATTTCACATGATTACAAGCACGAAATTGTTACCTAAGTCCTTGCTACTATAGTATACATAGTCTATAATCTCAGGTTATTGGCATTATGTAGAATTCGATTATAGTTTCCTTAGTTGAAGTTGCTTTGACAATCTTTGTTAAACATGCAACTGCACCAGGATACATTTTTGATTTGTTGTGACCAACTTAACTTTTGTCAAGAGCTATCATTTTTAACCCATCTTGTTCAATTTAAGATTAAGAAGTCATATATATATTTATTTGTAACACAACGTAATTAGTTAGTCTCACAATTTCTATATATAAACAGTTTCGATGCCATGTTTTATTAATTTCAATAAATTTTGTTTCTTAAAGCTTCAACTGAAAAAGAAAAAAGAAAAAAAAATCGAGGGAAAAAAAAAGAAAAATATAAGCATCCCCGGCGGGATTCGAACCCGCGGCCTCTGGATTAGAAGTCCAGCGCGCTATCCGCTGCGCTACGGGGACCTGCATATCTGCCTGACTCAATAAATCTGCCAGTTTCTTCAGCTCAACAAAGGATTAAATTTAGACGAGGAAGGACCTTTATTTCAATACAAGGCGTGTTAAATGGAGTGTGTTATCAATGTTGAGAATACATCTCCATTTGTAACTTAGTATTAAGTATTCGAATGCCACAACAGAAACGTATAATAACATTAATTATGGACTGACTCTAAACAACGCGTCTGGACCGGCTCAGGGCAACAAAAGAAAGGCCTGAGCCTTGCTAGCGTCCGACAAGTTCATCGCTGATATAGTTATTAGCATTTTAGACAGTTTAACTTGACATTTCCAGCAAGATTGTTGTAGATCTAGATATGGGTGCTTCACGGACTTTGTAACCTAATTCAATGGGCACTTGTACCAGAGACGTATAAAACGCCTCTGCTTGTACCACGGAATTAGATTAGTTATCTAGGTCCGTGCTTGTACCAATAGGTTACTATAATGTCTACCATGCATGGCGTGATGCAGAGGCCTATACGGCGACAATTATAGTAGTATAATACTAACTTAGTGTTCTACAGATATATATGGATTAAGTAACTTACAATTGGACGCCATGGATGTCCCTGCTGTCACCCCTGTAAAAGACAGAACTTAAACACTCTACCACGACTGCAACTGTGGTCTGTTTCCTTTATGTTTCATTATATGTAATATAGTGCATAACAGGTACACGGAAGTTTTCCTGCTCACTACGATCTTGTAAGGTGACACCGTCTTCACTCGAGGATACACGTGATCGCACTTCAATAGCAAAATGTATATACCGACGTGTGAATTTAAGTTTATGACAAAAAATAAGATAAGAATTTCAAGTAAGTATCCAGGTAGGCAGATAATTGAAATTTGCATAGCGACCTGGAGATAGAGAATGGGTTTGTATATTCACGGAATAAGATTATCTAAGTCCGTGGTATATTAAAAGAAAAGACACATAGTAAAACCCCTAATTGATGGCCCTCGTTTCATTGAGTTGCCACCTCGCTTACTTTCATGCAACGCATTTCAAATACCTTTTCCCATTTTCTTAATCATTGTTATATGTTTCCTTCGATATATCGGCAAATCCCTTTATAACGCCAATATTAGGAATAACAAGTGACGATAGCATTGTGACGGAGCTTACTGGTTTGTCTTTGATGGCATATAGCTATGAAGTAATGCGCTGAAGTCTATTAAACAATTTATTGAGGTCTTTATCCAATGTCTGTCACATTACCCCACAGTTTCCATCTTTTACCTCAGTTTACTATCTGGTCTAGTGGGAGTGACCCCGTCCGCCATTTTTACACGAACAACGACAATGAACGTAAGATGTTTCTCACTATATTTTTTTGTATGTTCAAGCATAAACGAAAAATTTCAAGAAGATATTATTTAAGTAATGTTTTTTGTTCACTTCCTCTTAATGATTAACATGGATCGGCCGTATCAATCATAAAAAAGGAAATAAATAAAAAGCATCCTCTTGACAATTTTAGTCTGCTAAAATAGTATTGTTATGTTATGTCTATGACTTGACTTTGTTCCCTGTCTCCCTATGGAGAATCGGGCCATGGACAAGTCCTCTCCATTGTGTACCGTCGTGTGAATCTCTGGTTGCCTCTGCCCGCGAGTTAAAACCTAGTTGTTGTCTTTCTTTTTTGACAGTTCTCCTCCATGTTTCCTTTGGTCTTCCTCTTTTCCTCTTTACCTCAGGGGCCCAGTCGAGTGCAATCCTGAAATTCCTGTTGTTTTCCATTCTCAAGACATGCCCTATCCACTGCCATCGTATTTTCTTTACAATTGTGCTGATCTTTTAAAGTCCTGCTCTTTGTCTTCTTGCTTCAATATTCGTAAAATTTCTGGCCAATATACTCTGAGGATGGTTTTGATGCATTTGTGAAGGAAGGTGTCCAAGATTTCTTTTTTCGTCGCCTTTCGTCATCTTCCAGGTTTCACTCCCATATAGTAGTACTGATTGTACGTTAGATTGAAGAAGTTTCATCTTGGTTTTTCTACCGAATAGACTGCTGTTCCATATCGGTTTTAGGTTATGGTAGGCCATCCTTGCAAGTCCTAGTCGTCTTCGTATGTACTCATTGGTTCCTCCTGTTTGGATACTTGTTGCACCTAGGTATGTGAATTGTTCTACATCTTCTACAGCCGTACCATCTATTTCTATTGTTTGTTTGTTCTCATTACTTTACCTTTTGTAGCAGTTATCTTCAGACCAGTTGATTTTGCATGGGTGTTCAACAGATTGCTCTTTCTCTGTATATGATCTTTTGAGCTCGATAGAAGGGCTATGATGTCTGTGTAATCTAGGTCTTCTAGCACAGATGTGAAGTTCCATCTTATGCCAGTGTTGTTGCTCGAAATTGTTTTTCTCGTAATCCAGTCAATTACTAAGAGGAACAGAAGGCCAGACATGTAGCATCCTTGTTTCATTCTGGACTCGATGGTAAACCATTCTGATGTTCCCGCTCCATCCACTACTGCACATTCACTGTTGGTATACATGCATTTGAACACATGAATGATCTTTTCTGGGATTCCATAATATCTCATAATCTTCCAAAGTGTGTCTCTATGGACGCTGTCAAATGCCTTTTCGAAATCGATGAACAAAATGTAACGGTTGGAATTCCACTCAGCACACTGCTCTAGGGTGTTACGTAGGATGAAGATCTGTTCCGTTGTTCCTTTTCCTGCTCTAAACCCTGCTTGTTCGTCTCGCAGGTGCCTGTCTACTTCCTTTGTGATTCCTTAGTTGACGATTTTCCCCATTATCTTTGTTGTGTTTGGTATCGATGCCTCTCCAGTTTCCATAGCAGGTAAGGTTACCTTTCTTTGCCAACTTGATGATTAGCCCTTGTCTCCTATCATTTGGTACTTTCTCTGCATTCCATACCAGGTCTGTTATCTTTGATATCTGATCTGTGGCAATTTCTATATCTGCCTTAAGAAGTTCTACTGATATGTTATCTATACCAGGTGCTTTCCCATTCTCCATACTTTTTAAGGCCTGTCTAATTTTCCTCTTTCGATGGTGGTGTTACGTCGATGTCTTACACTTCTATTTCACTCATGTCAATATCTGCTGGTTCTGTTGGTTCTGGCCTATTTACCACTTCACAAAAGTGCGCTTTCCATCTTTTCCTCACTACATTTTCCTTTGTTAGTAGCTTTCCGTTCTTATCTTTAACACTGTTCGTTTGTTTGGTCTCTTATTGCTTAGGAGCTTTGTGATGTCATAGACTCCTTTCATGTTGCCGTTGTTTGCTGATGTTTCTGCTTCATTTGGCAGTCCGTCTAGCCATTATCTTTTCTCTCTCATCTTTACATTTTTGTCGGTGATCCTATATTGTTCTCTTAACCTTACCTTCACTTTTTCTGATCTTGTCCTATCAATTTTCTCTTTCAGTGTTCTTCACTTTTCCACTTCCTTCCAGCTGTTACCACTTATCCAATCCCGGTTTCTCTTTTTTTTGCGCGATCCAAGAACGGGCTGATGCAGTCTCGTTGTAGATGTCCTTGAAATCTTCCCATTTTCTTTCCATCTCATTGTTGGTTTCATAATCCAGTACGCTGAATCTATTCCTTAGTTCCAGTCTGAAGCGTCCGTTGTTCTCTGGTATTTTGAGTTTGCATGTTTCATATCTGTTGGAAGTTGATGGTTTCTCACCAATTTTATGAAGCTCGAGTCAGGTCTTAATGACTACAAGGTTGTGGTCACTTCCGACATCTGTGCCCCTGTGTACTCTGACGAGTACTGGCCATTGATTGCAACATGGTAAATCTGATTGTGATATTTTCCGTTTGTTGATGTCCAAGTCTGAAGGTGATATTTTATGTGGAAACATTGTTGTTACTATGAATAAGTTATTATTTGAGCAAAAAGAGGAAAACACGCTTTCCGTTGTCATTACTTTTACCGTGAAGTCCATGTTTTCGAACAATCCCGTTTTCTCCATCTAGTTTAGTTCCAACCTTTGCATTCAGATCTCCAGCTACTATAGGTATGTCATGACGAGTTATTTGGTCTATACACATTGAAAAATCTTAAAGGCTTACGTAAATCAAAAGCTTCTAAGTGAAGTACACAATTTGATATTATTATTCATTGTTATATGTTGTCGGTGACTGTTAAGCTCTGTTATATGTTGTCGGTGACTATGTTGTCGGTGACTGTTAAGCTCCTTTATATGTTGTCGGTGACTGTTAAGCTCCGTTATATGTTGTCGTTGATTGTGAAGCTCTGTTATATGTTGTCGGTAACTGTTAAGCTCTGTTATATGTTGGCGGTGACTGTAAAGCTCTATTGTATGTTGTCGGTGACTGTTAAGCTGCGTTTTATGTTGTCGCTGACTATTAAGCTCTTTCTTATGTTGTCGAAGACTGTTAAGCTCTGTTATATGTTGTCGGTGACTGTTAAGCTCCGTTATATGTTGGTGGCGACTGTTAAGCTCCGTTAAATGTTGTCGGTGACTGTTAAGTTCCGTTATATGTTTTCGGTAACTGTAAGTTCCGTTATATGTTGTCGGTGATTATTAAGCTCTGTTATATGTTGTCGGTGACTGTTAAGCTCTGTTATATGTTGTCGGCGACTGTTAAGCTCCGTTAAATGTTGTGGTGACTGTTAAGTTCCGTTATATGTTGTCGGCGATTGTTTAGCTCCGTTATACGTTGTCGGTGACTGTTAAGCTGCGTTTTATGTTGTCGCTGACTATTAAGCTCTTTCTTATGTTGTCGGTGACTGTTGAGCTCCGTTTTATGTTGTCCGTGACTTTTAAGCTCTTTTATATGTTGTCGGTGACTGTTAAGCTCCTTTATATGTTGTCAAAGACTGTTAAGCTCCGTTATATGTTGTCGGTGTCTGTTAAGCTCCGTTATATGTTGTTGGCGACTGTTAAGCTCCGTTAAATGTTGTCGGTGACTGTTAAGTTCCGTTATATGTATTCGGTGAATGTAAGCTCTGTTATATGTTGTCGGCGATTGTTAAGCTCTGTTATATGTTGTCGGTGACTGTTAAGCTCCGTTATATGTTGTCGGTGACTGTTACGCTCTGTTATATTCTTTCGGTGATTGTTTAGCTCTGTTATATGTTGTCGGTGTTAAGCTCTGTTATATGTTGTCGGTGACTGTTAACCTCCGTTATATGTTGTCGGTGTTAAGCTCTTTTATATGTTGTCTTTGACTGTTAAGCTCTGTTATATGTTGTCGGTAACTGTTAAGCTCTGTTATATGTTGTCGGTGACTGTAAAGCTCTTTTGTATGTTGTCGGTGACTGTTAAGCTCCGTTTTATGTTGTCGCTGACTATTAAGCTCTTTTTTATGTTGTCGGTGACTGTTAAGCTATGTTATATGTTGTCGGTGACTGTTAAGCTCTGTTATATGTTGTCGGTGACTGTTAAGCTCTGTTATATGTTGTCGGTGACTGTTACGCTCTGTTATATGTTGTCGGTGATTGTTTAGCTCCTTTATATGTTGTCGGTGACTGTTAAGCTCCTTTATATGTTGTCGGTGACTGTTAAGCTCTATTGTATGTTGTCGGTGACTGTTGAGCTCCGTTTTATGTTGTCCGTGACTGTTAAGCTCTTTTATATGTTTTCGGTGACTGTTAAGCTCCTTTTTATGTTGTCGGTGACTGTTAAGCTCCGTTATATGTTGTCGGTGTCTGTTAAGCTCCGTTATATGTTGGTGGCGACTGTTAAGCTCCGTTAAATGTTGT